TGCTATACAACAAGCTGGAGCCACTAGTTGGATCAGTCGCACTGCCGGAGACGATCAAGCGGACACCAGTCCGCAGCCCGGTATACCAAACAGGGTCGTCACAATACGCATCGGCTACGTCCGAAGCCGGATCAGACAGTTCGGTTGATCTGGAGCGTATGACTCTTGGCCCGTCAGGAGCAGCGATGCTGCAGGAACGTCAGGCTATCGCCAAGTCGGGACGATCTTCACGCAAGTCGACGCCGGCCGTAACACCAGCACGAAGTCCCGAGGAGATGCAGACCTTCTTCAAAGCGGCGATGAATCGATACCTCAAGGAGAAACAAACGGGAGGATCGAAGCCGACGGCCGGTGGAACCACCCAAGACGTAGAAATGGAGTCCGTCGAGTCGTACCACGACTCACACGACGAATACGATCCAGACAACTTGAGCATCGATACACCGCAACAAGCAGTAGTCGCATCCGCAGGAGCAGGTGCAGGACCGACATCCACTTCGTCGATGATGACGCCCCGGATACGAGTATCCGCGATCTCGGAACTGAAAGAGTATTCTGGCAAAGACCAGGACGAAGATCGTGTGAGAAGCTGGCTGGGCAAGGTGAAGTCTGCGTTTGTCCGAGATCAAGCCCCAGACAGCGAGAAGCGCTTGGTGCTGGGCGATCTGCTCACCGGTCCAGCGCGCAACTGATATCGACAGCTGAGCCGATCAACCCGAGGCAATTGGAAAAGCTTATTGGAGGCTTTCCAGACGCAATACTGCGGGAGAGGAATATCTGTCGCGAGACAGTACTACCACGCGAAGAACCGATCGGACGAGTCACCCATGGAGTACCTCCACCGACTCAATGTGACCGGCATGCGAGCGAGGCTGCAGATCAAGGATGTTCCGGCGGCCACTCGACGCAAGCATGTCGAACACTTTATTGAAACGCTGGATGATCGCGATCTGGCTGATCAACTGGCGCTGTGACGGACGCGGAAGATCTGGAAGAAACCTTATGAGCCCGCCAGCGCGCGAAAAGCCCGCCAGGGCAAAGTGCATGCCGGATCAAACAAATTCCGCCAGAAGTCGACGCTCGAAAACCAGTCCGTGCCGGCGAAGAATGCGCGAGCCGTGCGAGTGATCCAGAAGGCTGAAGACAGCAGTGAGTCGGGATCCGATGCAAGCGGATCGGAACAAGAAGACGAGTGTCGCCGGGTGTACCTCGCAGAATCGAAGGAGCGGGGAATCCAAGCACCTACGCCGGCACAGCAAACAACCCCGTCGACCATACCACAATGTCGCAGAAGAGCTGTACCCACTGCGGGTCTACAAAACACGACAATCTGGGATGTTGGAAGCGACTGACGTGCCAGAAGTTTGGGCGGAAGGGCACCCATCCGACCACTGTCTCTTCGTCTGTCGCGCATGCCGATAGATGCACGACTCCGGGAAGTGTCCAATGGAGGAATTCTACAATCTGATCCGCCAGTGGTATGTCCCGAACAAACACGCAGGAATGTTGCCAGCGAATGCGGAGAAGATGCTAAATTAGAACGCTCGCCAGGTTGCAATCTGGTACGAGCCGAGCGTTCTGAGATATGCATTTTTGCTTACATCGAGAAGCGAGAGAAACCGGAGGTTAGTAAGCAGATCGACAATGCATGTGAATTACACAAGAAGTCTACATTTGCGATCGCGGACTTGCGGAAGGACGATTACTCCCGCACCGATGTGGTCATGGAATTAGACCTGCTGCCAGGGGAGTCGAGAGGATACTGGAAGTACCATGCTTCTGGCAAGTGGTTCAAACATGCCAAGTCTACAGCCAAGATCAACAACGAAAGGGCCACACTTCTCTTTGACTCTGGAGCGGAAATCTCAATTGTGGATTCTACCTTTGCTCGTGATGCACTGTAGACAATAGTCAGAGACAAGAGTGCGTGGGAATCGGAGAGGATGCATACATGACAGAAGGACGTACCCGTATCAAGATCACGCTCGCAGGATCATACGTATACTACTTCGACGCATGGGTCGGCGACTTGACGGGTCAGGAGGCGATCTTGGGGATGGACTTCATGGTCCCGGCAGGCATCCGTCTCGATCTGGCCGATGGGTCATTGTGCCTCCCAGGCGAGGTACGCATCCAGCTATCTGGGCGTCGACAGCTCTTCAGCGGAAATTCGAGACAGATCACGTTCGACCAACACGGTAATGTCCCGGTGGCAGGATCCGTGGAGATCGCTGTCCGGAAATCGCTGTCGGAGAGACAGAAAGTGTGGGTCACCCGCGGAGATCGATGGGTCCCAACGGTGGATAGAGGACTAGGCCGGACGCAGTATCTACGGATCACGAACGTGTCAGATCAACCCATAACGCTGCAACGCGACATCCGTATAGGAATCTGGTTGGCGGGAGATCACGTATCGCGGACCCCAGGATACGTCTCGGTTGGATCACGTAAATATGCAGAATGGCAGAACCTGGCGTTCCAAGCCACCGCCGACGAAACACCGAGATAGGACTCGGACGAAGTCGTGGCTGAACCGTTGGTCGACAGACCGCAGTACAACGCACCAACAGAGATCTTGAAGCAGGAACCGAAACCGCGGAAGCTGATGTCAGTCCAACCATCACCCGGCGTGGAGACGAAGATCGAAGACCTGGTGGCAGGTTGCAGACCACTAAAACCGGAGCCGGGGGATGCAGATCACGTCGCTACGGAAGACACGAGGGTAAATCAGGAACAGATCGAGCCGAGAGACCAGGCGGGTGAACCAGATCAGAAGATCGGACCAGCAGAAGCGCTGGTGAAGCCGGGAAGGGAAGCCGACGACGACATGGATGACACAGTCTGTTACCACGAAGGCGGAGACATCTTCCCGGAAGACATCGAGAACCACATGGCGGTGTTGCCGGAAGTCGAGACCACCACAAGAGAAATCACGATAGACGATATACGGGTGGAAGATCCAGATGCGACGCCGGAAGAGTGCGTGCGGCTGCGTAGCATCATATGGAAGCGGCGTCACCTCTTGATCGGAGCTGGAAACGCACTGCCCCCCCCCCCGCTGCGCATGGGGCGATCTGCGATATCGACATCGGGAACGCAAAACCGGTAGCACAACGTTGCCGAAGAGTAGCTCCACAGCTCCGTGAGAAGTTATCCATGCTCATCAAAGAGCTGCTGTCGGCGACGATCATTGCTCCATCAATCTCACCTTGGGCGTCACCAATAGTGGTCATCATCAAGGCCAACGGCGTGGATATCCGCCTCTGCATCGATTACCAAGTGGTAAACCGCATGACAAGGCTGACGGTGTACCCGATGCCGCTGATCAACGATCTCCTCGAGGACTTGGACAAGGTGCTTTGGTATTGTTCCCTCGACATGGCGAGTGGATTCTGGGTCGTGTCCATGACGCCGCGGGCGAGACTGATCTCAGCATTCATCACGCCATTCGGGTTATTCGAGTGGGCGAGGATGCCGTTCGGTCTGAAGAACGCTCCACAGATCTACCAGCGGATCGTAGACAACGCCCTATATGGGCACATGCGCATTAAGCCTGGCCAAGACAAGACAGTCGATGTGTTCGAGGAGGGAGAGCCCGAACCAGAACCCAAACCGTCGGTCTTGGGACGGCGATCGTACGTCGACGACATTCTCGTGAGTGGAGACACGTGGGACAGCATGTGCAACAAGGTCAAAAATCTGCTGGACGTATGCGAACGCTGGAACCTATCGATCAGTGTAGCAAAAAGCCACTGGGGCAGGCGCAAAGTGACCTACCTGGGACACCAAGTGTCGACAGACGGGTGGGAAGCGAAGCCGAAGGACCTCGAAGCCTTCTCGAATCTCCCTTTCCCCACCAAGCTGAAGTCAATGCAGTCATTCCTTGGAAGCCTGAATTACTACAGCCGCTTCATCGAAGACTTTGCAGTCTATGCAGCGATCTTGTACGAGCTTCGGGAAGTATATTACTACGGTTGAAGTCGACCGAAGAACCGGAGGAAGGGACAGCACTGGCGGACGAGGAACGCGATCGCTGGACACGAGCAATGAATGTGTTCACCAAACTCAAAGCGAAGATCATCTCCACCCCGATCTTGAAGCACTTCGATCCGGGGCGGGCGCCAGTCATAGTCCTCTATGCTAACAAGTGGGCGATCTCGGCGGCATTAATGCAGAAACACGGCGGCGTGTATTGGCCAGTGACCTTCACCAGTCGGACGCTGAAGGCCAACGAGTTGAACTATGGGATCGTAGATAAGGAGGTCCTGGCTTTTCTTCGCACGTTAGACGTCTGCTACTCGCAATTGGTCACCAGATCGATCAAGGTGCTATCGCGTTTCTCCACGCTAGCCTGGCTCCTGAAGTCGAGTGGGCTAGACGGGCGTTTGGGCAGGTGGGCCGCATTGTTGTCTGGCTGGACACTGGAAATCACGAAGTGTTCCAAAGGCGAAGAGGAAATCCTAGGCGCGATCGCTGCGAGCATCACCCCTCCGGCGGAAGTTGACGAAGCCCTAATGGCAATAGCCCCGAAGAAGCAACCCCGGAAGATGATCGCCATGACTCCTCCAAACGTAGAACCGGAGGAGAGTCTGTTGGTGGCGAGTTTCGATGGATCGGCACGAGTGAAGCATGCAGGAGGCGCATACAGCGCGATCCTCTGGAAACTTCCCGAGTGGACGATCCTCGAAGCGAAGTCCGAACACCAGCCTGATTTGACAGTGAACGAGGCGGAGTATAGGGAACTGCTACTGTGTTTCAATCTCCTCTCGACTCAAGCCAGGGGACGAGTCGTGTTCTGTGGTGACTCCAACTTGGTGATCCGCCAGATGAGAGGCGAGATCGACTGTAAGGCGCCAGGTCTGCAGCTGTTACGCCAGAAGACGTTGAACCAACTGCGATCTTGGCCAAAGTACGACTTCGTACACGTGAAGCGAGAGTGGAACCAAAGTGTCGACAAGCTCGCCAGTGCCGCCTTACAGCGTGAAGAAGGCGAGATCGTGACAGCCGAGGAAGAACGGCAGGATTTGATCACGCTGAACAGATTACATGAAATACTGCAACCAAGGTCAGCCAGATCAGTGACTCACGTGAATGCGATCACTCGATGTGTACGCCGGACTCCACCACCAGCAGCGATGGATGAATCTATTGTACGACGTATAAGGAGTCAGCGGATCAAGCAAGCACAAGACGAAGAGAAGTGGATCGTGGATCTAAAGGCGTACCTGAACGGGGACCTGAATGGTCTGTCGAAGGAGGAAGCGAAGGCGTGTTCAAAGATCGCCGCAACATATGAAGTCGACAAAGACGGACTGTTGTTTTATTGCCCGAGGACTCTGACACGAGACGAAGATCGCGATGATGTCGTCAGACTGGTGATGCCGGAGAGCTTGCAACAGGATTTCCTCCATCATTACCACACGAGCCTGGAAGGAGGCCATCAGGGTGTTGGGAGGACATACCGTAGAATCCGGACGCATTTTCACTGGAGAAATCTGTACCGAAGTGTCCAGCGCTATGTAGGGGAATGCACAGATTGTGAGACCGGGAAAGGGAAACCAACAGATCAAGGAAGATCGCCGGGGAATGTGCAAGATACGTACCCGTTCCAGGTCATATCCATGGACCACATCCCGTCGCTACCGAAGTCTTTTAAGGGGAACACGGAGTTACTGATCTGGGCTGATCTGTTCACTGGATATGTGATCGCCAAAAGATCGCCAAGGCTGGATCATCGCGGGGAGCCCAAGTGGTGGCGGAAAACTACGAGGAATGTGTCTTCAGGTGGTTCGGTGCAAGTGAAGTAATCAGGCACGATCGGGAACGGGGATTCATGGCAGATTTCTTCCGTGCGTTTAATCGGATCGTGAAGATGAGGCAAAGTCCAACCATGGCCTACCGCCCTCAGGGGTAATGGAAAGGCGGAACGAACGGTGCAAACGCTGACGAGAGCGTTGAAGATGTAGGTCTCCGACGTCAACCAACAGGACTGGGATGACTACGCCGAACGTTTGACGTTTGCCCTCAACACGGCGCAAGATCGGGTGCGTGGAGACACATCCTTTTATCTGGTGCATGGGTGGGACGCAAGATCAACGCTGGAAGCGACGCTTCCGATTGGATCCACAAGGCGGAAAGACAGCGGCGCCCGCCGGTGGAGGTATCGTCTGCAATCGCAATATCAATGGGCGAGAGAAGTGGTGAATAGCGATCTCCGAAAGGCGATAGAAGCCAGAGCTGCCCAACATAACGATCGAGTTAGGCCCCACAAGATCGAGCAAGGATCACAGGTATGGCTCTACCTGAACCGGGTGAATGAAGGGTTCGCGAGGAAACTGGCCCACATGTGGCACGGCCCTTTGCGTGTGACCGAGCTCATCGGTGATCATGTAGCACGTGTGGAGACTAGTGGACAGAATACCGCGTCTTCCCTGTGGCGCACCTGTCGAAGTTGAATCTGGTGAAGGCGTTCCCCGACCGCCCAACTTGCACCCTGCTGGTCGAGGAAGGAGATCGAGTCGACTTCGATGAAGCTCTACTCGCGGAGGACAGCTGGGAGACTCCTTTGGGCGAGGACGAATTCGAGGTGGAACGGATTGCCGACGTAAGGTCAGGACACCGCACGCGATATGGCCGCGTTCACCGAGAGTTCCAAGTGTTTTGGAAAGTCTATCGCGAACCCACGTGGGTGGACGAGGCCGACCTCAACTGTGGGGCGCTCTTGGCTGAATTCGAACGAACTCAAACGAACTCCAGTCGGTTCAACGTCATGCAGTCGCATGAAGAGGCGTCGGACAACCTGTAACCGAGAGATGGTGCAGGCGGAGAGAAGAAGAAAGTGCAGGATGGGTGGAGGGTACATGTAAATGTATGACAGTCATGTTGAATTAGTTAGCAGAGCACAACGGAGGCTCGCTACAAAAAGGTGAAGCAAGGAAGAAGAAGTGGAGTGGATCAAACCCGCGCGCAGAGCTAAAACTCAGAGATCGCCCAGAGGAACGAACTTGCCAGGTAATCGGGGAAGCTGCGTCCAGGGTGATCTTGAATCTGGGCGCGGTACTGATTCCGCAAGTCTACCTCGCGAAGCGCTTGAAACAGGTTAGCAGGTTGCGTGTCGCAGCCCAACCCTGGATACCACACGGAAGTCTCCTCACGCCGAGGAAAATGCAAGAAGTACGGATCCAGAAAGATGTCCAAGTCGCACACTCCAGCCTCGACGCAGCGCAACACATACGATGCAGCGCAACACGTACGGCAGGAAATTTTTCCACGCTGCTTGCGACCTTGGTACAGGGTAGCGAAATAAGCTACCGCGGCCCTCAGACTCTCAGGAATAGGGAAGGAGTGAGAAGCCTCCCACAAAGCCTGTAGGTGCTTGGCCTTCAGCTCAGTCCACCGGTGTGCCATAACCCGGAGGGGTGCGTCTGGAGGCCCGTCGACCACGAAAGAAACAGGCTGCACCGTAACGGCCAACACGCGCCACGGCACCGAGGCATACACGGCGGAGACGTTGCCCTCGTCGATCAGTCCCTCACTCCAGTCGTGAGAAGCAGGAGGACTCTCCTTCGGAGGAAAAATCCAGAAAGGAGGCTTGGAAAATCGCTTGAACTGTAGATCGACGGTCAACTCCGACACGCTCATTTTAGCGACCTGAGAGACAGGTCAAGTAGACCACGGCCAGAGTCACTCGAACGCGGTAACCTGGAATCCAAAGTGCTCGATCCACGCGAGTGGCGGGCAGCGCCAGGAACGCTTGCGAAGAGAGCAGAGGACCACACGGAACCGCCGAAGACGCACCCCTGGTAGCGAGACCCGAGTCAGCTGGACGCGCAGACGAAGCGAGATTGTCGCCGTCAGGTGGCAGACCGTCGGCCCTGGCGTCAGGTCCACTCTGACACGACGAAGTGACATCACCAAGTCCGCGTCTGCGAGATTCACCATCCCCACCGACAGAACCCGCGTCGGACTGGACCCCGGTCAGAAGCGTGACCCGCAACGTCGCCTGAAGCGGACCCGGAGGGGTCGTCAGGATCTCCACCTTCGTGATCTCCGTCACTAGACCTACAGATGTCGACCTGGCGAGCTTCGTCGTCATGGTCGGAATCTTCACTGCTGGAGATCTCGCTGCTAGGTGAAGTGCCCACCTCTATGGGTTAGTCCACCGTCGATCCACCTGAGCCGCGCGACGAACCAGAGCTACGCCGGTGCTCAAACCGAGATCGAGTCAGAGCAGCCAACACCGGGTCATCGTCGCTCGAAGACGAGCGAGGCTGGTTGGAGGAGGAGCGCCGCCCGCTCCCGCCACGAAGACGTCGCTGAGGAGTGGAAGATGCACTCCCTGTGGAGTGACCACCGGTCGAGTAGCGCCGCGCTGGAGATGGTGTGTGGACGGGAGCCTCTGCACCTCGACCAGGCAAACCGCGGGAAGAGGGGCTACCAGACGCTGGAAGTGAAGTGTCTGCGGGATCTGAAGACCGTCCATGAGCGTTGTTTCCACCGGACTCTGCTGACGCGGGGTGAGAAGAAGAGCGTCGGGACTTGGAAGGCGCGGGAGACGACTCTGGAGGTTGAGTCTGGCGGCGCTTGCGACCCGAGGCTGCGAAAGGACAGCTCTGCGAAGAGCCAGTGGCTTGTGGGATGGGGCGCACCTGTGACACGAATCCGGCGACCTGGGCACGCAACGCATCGTAGTCACGAGTGACCTGATCGCGCTGCTCGTCGGCAACACGCCGAGCAGACTCCGAATCGGCCTGCGCACGACGCAACGACGCGAGCTCCCCGGCGGTAGCCGTAGAGCGCGCCTTCAACTCGCCAATCTGGCGTTGCAACGCCTCGAACTCGGTGTGATCCACGTGGAGTTCAGTGCCACGCTGTCCGAGGTGTGCGATGGTGGAACGAGCGGACGAGATATGGGTCTCTGGAAGCACAGAGAGGGTTAGTGAGACAGATGGATCGAACCCCAGTACAAGACTCACCTGAAGCCTGGAGATTAGCGATGGCCTGGTCCCGGGTTCGGTTGGCAGAGCGCAACTCAGCCGTCATGCGAGCGACTCCAGCATTGGCAGCAGCAGCATCATCGCTGAAGCTGTCGCGATCGGCCATGGCTTGGTCAAGCCGAGCCTGAGCGCGGGCGAGTTTCTTCTCCAGGGCGGAGATATGCTGTTGGTGCTGACTGACGGAATCCTCGAGCGCTTTTTTAGCCACTTCGTGTGCCAAAACTGTAGCACTGGCGCAGTCGAGATCCACGCCACGGGCAGCCATGATGTCTTTAGTGAGCTGCAACTTCGCTTGAATGTCGTCGCGAGACTGTCGCGCGTTCGCCAGCTCACGCTGTAGCGTCACCAGGCGCCGCGAAGATGGGGGAGCTTGAGCAGCGCGTGCGGCAGCCAGACGAGACGTCAAATCGTCGATCTCGCGATCGATGCGGCGTCGATCCTCAGCGTGATCCTCAAGCGCGCGAGCAAGACTCCGACGAGCGGTTTCCAGCTCGATGGCGTTGTCCCGGCGGTCCTGCAACGCATCCAGAGCATCGCCAAGGGACTCAC